TGGTTCTAACATGTGAAGTTTCCAGCGATTCACGGGCAGGTGTCATCGATCTCAAGATACTGAAAGCTCATGGGAAGAGAAGTAGACAGGAAATCGGAGGCTACATCAAATGGGAGAGTCGCTGGGCAGGTTTGCTTCTATCTTCCCTGATAAAGGCTCTGCCACGTATCATAGGATATGGCTGTTGTGGTGACAGCATAGAGGAGGATGGGATGGAAGGTGAGTAGAGAGGGCAAACTGTAGCAATAAAGTAAAACATGACAAGGTAAAGAGCTTGGGCATGCTTGCTTGGACTGGGATAACCTCGTGCAAGCCTTAAGACCTCCATAGCCTGCTGCCATGATGAGGCCAAGACTTAGGATTGGTTTCTGTCCTCCCTGTCACTGGCTGGGACTGTCCCACTGTGCCTGGCTCATTTTACTCATATTTGATTATTTTTTCTTGAGGTTACTGTCATCTCCCAATGCTATCCTGCTTCTTTCACCACCGTTCCGACAATCCATCAACCTTTGTCTGCTTATGCCTAAGCATTCATTGGAAACAGGGTGCCTGTGAGAATAAGGACTGTTGTGTGCAGTCACATGTTTTTCCTCAGCAGCACACCCAAACGTGAGCTCCAACCCCACGGGAGCCCCCTGGCATGCATAAAACGCCTGCATAGTGCCAGGGACATGATTCTAATAGGATTACATAAGAGAAAGAAGTAGATAAATATCTCAAAATACCAAACCAAGAGTACAAAACACAAGAGAAAAGAGAGCTGCAACAACAGGAAAGGGTAATCCTAGGATACAGGCTGACGTGCTTTGATGTGTGGATTGCCTGTGGGTGTAAGAGAATGAAAGAGACGAAGGAAGAATCACCAAGCACTTTCAAAAGAACTGGAAGAAGCCTATTTTGTAAAGCCAAACACAACTCTAAATTATAACAGAGAGACCTTACTTTTAGGATTTTGCCTTAGGAGTGGGGGAAACAAGGATTTTACATTTCCTTTGACTTGTGCTCCTTTAGGAAATCTTCAAAATCACTTTTAGAATAAGCTTATTTTGCCCTGGTCATGAGCATGGCTCCATGTTGGCATCTTCACATTAAATATAGGTGCCAGTGCAAAGAGCAATAAAACAAATACATGCACAGCTGTAATATGAGGCAAAGGAAAGTAAGTAGCACCAAGAGTGTGTGATTGTGAGTAGGTCATCATGCAAGGACATCTCGCATGACCATCACACTGATCTCTGAGAGGAATCGTATGTAGCTGTGGACCTTGAGTTGTCAGGTTTGAGCACATGCAAAGATCCTCAGAAAGCCTCTTGGCCAAGCAAAGCGAAGTTCATTGGGCAGAGTGGGTACAGGAGGACACCACATTCACAGTCTTCATAATATCTCAGAAAAGGCAAGTCAGGGAGGGTATTTGTAAAGTTCGAGGGGGACTAGGTTTTAAGTAGTTTAAGGTGATGGGTAACTAGCTGGGATTGGGCAAGTTTTGTGACAGGATAGTTTACCATTAGCAAATCCTGAGAAGTAAGTTGTTATCTACTAAGAATCCATTTGCCCAGATAGATACCATCTATTGTCCTTATGGCAGAGCTGTTTACCGAGATAAACAAACTCTCCCTGAATCTATCGGTTTATAAGGATTTCCTGAAACACACCGTGAAATTAGATATGAGTATAAAAACCTTATCTTCCTGGGCAAAAATTTTCATGAATTAAATGATGAGGTTTTGTTGATACAGATGGTCTCTAGTCTCTGTTTCATAGTTAAGGTCTGAGGTTGCAGGTAGTCTCAATTTCCAGGTCAGTGCTTAGGATGAGTTAGAAGATAACAGGAGATGAAGCTGGAAGGGTGGGTTGTTCTAGGCCACGGGGACTTAACTGCCAGGTAGCAGAATAAACAAACTGGAATAACCTACTTGAAATCTGTAGAATTTATCACTGTAATGTCGCTAGCTTTCGTCATCTGCTTTCTCTTCACATCACTACTACCCCAGGTCAAGTTTCCTCTGTATTTTCCCTAGAATAGTGTCTTCTAAATGGTCCCCCACTCCCACCCCACCCCCTCTGGGCTCTCTCCTTCCTATCCACTCTACCTCCTGCTCTCAGAGGATTCTTGCCAACATATGACTTGGGCCCTGCCATCCTCCCACTCCCACCACCACCTCCAATCATTGAGCTCTTGAACTCTAATGAGTAAGCCTTCTGCTAGGTCCTGACCCTTCCCACTCATTTCCAACCTCTGCATTATCCTGTGTGCTTATGAACACCTGCCATGCCTTCACACCTCGCCCCGACGTCTGAGGAGCTGGGAGGACACTGTGGATGAGGTGGGAGGGGGTCTCCAACTTAAGAGGAGAAGGGTGTGATTTACTAAGACACACTCTCCCAAAGTCTGTGATAAAGACTCAAATAGAAATCAATGCATGGTGCTTGAGTTTCAGTGGACTTTAGATTTTATTTTCTTTAAGAGTGGCTTTCTAAGCTGTGTGCTCAGTGTACGAGAAACAAACAGACAAAAACCCTGTTTTAAGAGTGTAGCCCTGGCTGGTGTGTTTCACTGGTTAGAGCGTTGGCCTGCACACTGAAGAGTTGTGGGTTCAATTCTCAGTCAAGGGTGTGCACCTAGGTTACAGGTTCGATCCCCATTCCGTCACCCACAATAGTGTGCAGGCCCTGTCTATGGGGTGATGTTGGTGCAGAACCTGATTTGGAAACTGCAACTTGATCAAAGATTAATAAGCTTCTATTCCTTGACTTCTTATGTGCAATTAGAAAAATGTGGCCATTCAAGAACAAGCACTCCTGATTAGGGATTTCCTGAAGAGAAAGCACCCCCTCAGAGATAGTGGAATTGAAGGAGGAAGCCAAGTTGAGAATATGTTGAAGGAAAAATTGCTTGCTGCGAGGCAATCTAAACTGATACCGGTGTCAGTGTGCCTGTCAAAAGAATAGGTGCGTTATGTAATATTTACACAATGGGGCTATGACTCAGACCTTATCTCAGCAGTCACACGCTACCTCATAATGGATGCATGTCTAACGATCCTTGTCTCAGACCAACTCCCATCGTGGTGGGCAGACATGATTGTTCTGCTTTATAGCTGAGGCTTGGAGAGAGCCCCATACTCTCCCATTAAGAACTCAGTGAGATGGATCCGTGTATACATTTATGCAAGTTACTTAACTTGAGCTTCCCTTATTCCTCCATAAAATGGCAATAACAACACCTAACCCACGGAAATGATGTGTAGAAAGTGCTTGGGTAGGGCTGCTCCCACAGCAGACAGTCAGTGGTAAATAGCCTTGTAACTATGGCTGTGATCCTTCTCCTCTTCTCCTTCCCTTCACTGCTCCTCCTCCCCACAGTCAGGGTCCTAGCAGGAAAGCCTAGAAAAGGGTTTTCTCCTTGCATTAGATGTCCCTCCCTCTCATGGGACTGTGAACTGCTCAGACAGCAGAATGCACGTGTGACTCATCTGAAGTCCCCGTCCTGCCAAACCCTGAGCACAGTGCTGACACAGGTGAGGCAAAAAGTCCAAGCGTGGCAGCCGCCTTAGCACGTGACAAATCAGCGCCACCATCCGCCTCTCATCCCTGGCCTGTCACATGGCTGTGCACACTGGTTACCAGACGCAGGTCAGTGGCAGAGGCTTCATTCAGCAGGCTTTCTGTGGGCCTCGCTTCAGGGTGGGGTCGCCCATTGTGCACATTTTGACCTGGTGGCTTGCTGATCTCCAAGCCTCTACCTGATTATCATAAAAGAAACTGCACCAATGCTCTATGAGTGCACTTCAGATCTGATTATAATTTATCGGCTTGAGATATTTCAAAGAGAGGAAACAGAACTCTATTACTAGTTAGTCTTTTCCATTGCCCCCCTGAAAAAAATATTTTATTCTGCTGTGATTATTGTTTCTTTGACCACGGTTATTTAGATGTGCTTAATTTGCAATACGGAAAGGTACAGGGAAGAGTTAATATAGCAGGTCTGCGACTGGCATCCTTAGGAAGGCCTGCTTGTAAGGCTGGCTTTGGTGGCACCTGGGAATTGGATTTCAAGAGGGTTTCCACCATTCTGAACCTGATAAGAGCGGCCCATTGAACATAAACTATTTATACAAATATTGCGATTTATGATGACCACCAACTTTCTCTGGGGAGTCTGCCAGCCAGAGCGTGCCTGTGTGACTAACCTCCAGATAAAAATCCTGGACATCTAGGCTCAGGCCAGGTTCTCTGCCAGATAATGCTTAATGCTTATTGCCAGAATAACTGTTTCCCATGTGACTCCATCAGGAGAGGTCTCTTGGAAATTGGTACCTATTTTCAGCCAGATTTTCCCCATGTCGTTACTAATTTTGCTTTGTTTAATTTTCTCTGCACTGTTCAGTTTTCTGTAAGCCCTTCAAATAAACTTTCCACATCTGATATTATATTTTTCATTTCAACAATCCCTTTTGGTATACATTGCATCTCTACACTAAAATTCGCCATCACACGGGTTGTCCACCTTTCTACCACAGCTTTTAACACATCTGTCAAAAGTTGTCTTAAAGTCTTTGTCTTCTGATTCCAACCTTTGCACCATCTGTGGATCTTCTTCTATTGATGATTCTTTTCTTGTTCCTGGGCCACATTGCCTTTCCTCTGTGCATGTCTCAAAATGTGAAAAGAACAGTCAAAACAGAAGCAGAATACATTAATCCCCAGGAAAGGGCATGCCCTTCTCCTGTCAGGGTTCTAGTGGGGTCAGGGGTCAGCCTCAGTCTAATTTGTAGTGATCTGGGACTACCCTTTGCTGCGACTTTAGTCAGATTCTGTTCAGCACTAGCTGCAAACATTCTGAAGGCAGAACTACAGGATTTCCTCTTGATTAAGCCACCCACTCTGTGGTACTTTTTATGGCAGCCCCCGTAAACTGATATAGATGGAGAGGAAGGTTGCAAGGTGGTACAGTCAAACAAACTGTCCAGAGTCAAGAAATCAGAGGATGGATAGAGACCCCACACTATTATAGCAAAAGTGTCTTTATTTAAGTCACAGCCGTTCCATGTGAATATGTACATGGCCCCAAGTCCCAAGTTTTTCCCATGCCCCTTCCTTCTCTCAGCTCCTGGGCCATCATCCAAAACCTGCAGAAACATAAAAGGTCCCAGTGAGTGGACTGTCCAGGAAATCGAAGAGAGCTTTTTGTTCCTCCAATCTGTATCTGTATCTCAGCTCAAAGCTAAGGATAAGGGGAGCACGAGAGGACACCTCATTACCTCCACGACAGGAGTGAAGGGCAAATCCATGCCTTTGGCAGAGCAAATATATGCCTTACCTGGTCAGCTCATGCTCTGCCCAGAGCCAGGAAAAGGGGTCGTAGCTCAAGGAAAAGACTTAGGCCTCATAAGTCTCTCAGATAGAACTGGGAGGCCTCCTTGGGCAGGACTCTCCACCAGAGCTGGAACACCTACACTTCTAACTAGTTTGGTCCTGACCTCCAGGGGCTGAATCAGATTCCCAGGGCCTTCCCCATATTTCCACGCTGGAAACCTTGTTTGTGAGCCCAGAGCATTTGCTAATGTTTAACAAGCTCCCAGGCAACAAGGTGACTAACCACAGCACCCGGCCTGATGCCTCCCATTAAGTGGGAAGGAGAGCATTCAGCCCAGTGAGGAAAGATCAACCCACTAAGAATCTTTCTCTAAGAATCAGCGGCTGGCTGAGGGAGCTTCTCTCTCTCTTTGGAGCCCCAAGGCATTTTATATACTTGGGGTAAGTACTCCACTCCACTTTGTCACTGCCACACTTTCTAAGGTGTATGTATAGGGGGAAGGGGGCCAAAGTGGGTGCTGCCATCAGACAGACTTGGGCTCCACACTTAGCTTTGGATTCATCAGCTCTGTGAACTCGGGAAATCATCTCACTTCCTTGAGTTTCAGCTTCTTACCAAAAATAATGAATAATAATATCCTTTCAAAGAGTTTGATAAGGACTAAGTGAAATAATACATACCACGGATGTACCACAATGTCTGATACAAAGCTAGCACCCAATAAATGTTAGCTGGTATATTTTGTTAACATACTATGGCTTCTCAGAGGGCAGACAACATGCCCTTTGTTGCTTCTGATAGGCTGGTACTTGATTAGTATTTGTGGATTTGAAGGAGGCAGATACGTCTGTTGGTGCTAAATGAAGACCTAATGTCTACAAACAGCAAGTTCATAAACACACTAGCAGTCAGAAATCCAAATGGAGCTGCCCTTCTCCCTCTTCTGCACACATCTTCCCTTTCTCTTTCCTCCTGTTCCTTTGTGTGTGTGACTGCTTCTCTCCTGCAGGGCTGTCTTTCATTTTGTGTAGTTAGAATCAGAGTAAAAACTAGTAATGACTCAGTGCTAGCCATGTGTCAGGCATTGTCCTCAGCAGTTCATCACAACTATCCTATAAGGAACTGGATGATCCCATTTTAAGGCGAGTAACTGAGAAATACTGAGGTTAGGGAACTTGTCACAAGTCCCTCAACTGAACTTGGTGAAATCAGGCAAGGAAACCAGGCAGACTTTGTGTTTCAAGCACATGAAGAATGATGTACAGCTCATTTGTGGTATGTGTCCATGTATAATGTGATGTGTACATATATGCAGAGCACATATACTAAATGTACCAATTAATAATGCAGATTTTTTTCAATAGATGGAGTTACACATATGTTGATATATGTGTGATTTGATATGTATGCTATTTTGTTGTATTGACAGCAAGCTTCAAAACTTCATTGTCAAATTTTCTGAAGTTGTTAACATCATAGATATTTTTACACTTACTATAGTGTATGTGGTAGCATTTATAATGATGGTGTGTGTACAGGTGCATGTATGTGTGTGTAGGGAAGGTCAGGGAGGGGAAAAGTAGGCCACTTGCCCTCTGCAGCGATCCAATCCCCCTGAGTCCCCTACACAGTTACCCACCTTTCAGCTCTGCAGAGCTTTCTCTTTTATTCTTGCTAACTCGAAGATGTCCATTCCTGCCACCACTCAGGGGAGAAAAGAGAAAGCAGCAAGGAGACTAAGGGATTGAGAGCGCCCGATGGGAAAGAATTAGCTGCTTCTGCCCCAGGCCTTTCCTTATTCAGTCTCTTCTTTAGACCTTGTAGCCGTCAAGCCTTGAATGCACCACTGAGAGTGTCTGCCAGGTCCAGGCCTATGCTCTGCGGGACCTGGCCCCCGGTACCTGTAGCTGTCCCTTTGACCAGCATGAACCAAGGGTGGCAACAGGCTCCTGTCCACAGGTTGAAGTTCCAAATGCCATGGGCTGTCACGCTCACAGGACAACGCAACACAATGTCTGATCTTGGAGCAGATTCCCTCCTACCAGTGCCGAGTGTGCCGTCCAGCCGGTGTGTCTCTGATCCAGGCTAGAGAGCGCCTGGCTGGACGGGGTGCTGGGCATTAACAACAGGCAGATCCTGGCCCTGGTGCCCCTCAGCGTGGCCGCCCCTGCACGTGTCCCGAAAGCCGAACCACGGGTTCCAGAGGACCGAGACAATCTTCTTGTATTCCCTGCGGAAGTTCTGGTTCAGGAGCCCGTAGATGACGGCATTGAGGCAGCTGTTGAAGTAAGCCAGGAAGTAGCTCGTGACAAAGAGCCCTTCCGGCACCCGAGGAGCCATCTCCTCTGGGCTGATGGCCACGGCGAGGCCGATGCAGTTGAGCGGGGCCCAGCAGATGGCGAAGATGACAAACACCACGAACATGGTGAGGAAGCTCCGGATGTCACTGGGCCGCAGGCGCAGCCTCCTCTCGGACTTGACCTTCCTGCGGGCCTGGAGCACCAGCAGCCAGATGCGCAGGTAACAGAAGGACACGACGGCCATGGGGAGGAGGAAGTGGATGGCCACCACCGCCACGGTGTACTGGGTGCTGGTCGTCTGGATGAAGGTGCAGGAGTAGATGCGGGGGTCGTACTCCAGGGACCCCACAAAAAAGTTGGGCACCAAGGCCACCACGGTGAGGAGCCAGACGAGGCAGATGAAGAGTGGGGTGTGCCAGTGCCGGTAGAGCCGGCTGTAGGCCACGCTGTGGCAGATGTAGCAGTAGCGGTTAATGGCGATGGCCGTGATGTTGAAGACAGAGCAGATGACGCTCAGGCCCATCACAAAGGCACTGGCCTTGCAGTGCACCTCCCCCAGGGCCCAGCCGTCATGGAAGATGGCCATGAGGATCAGTGGGTAAGGGTACAGGGCCACCACCAGGTCAGCCAACGCCAGACTCACCAAGAACAAATTACCTGGAACAGGAAACAGGAAGCAGGAGTCAGGATGAGACCTCGGGATTTCTATTCTGTAAAGTGTTCTAGTCTTTGTCCAGTTCTTCCATAGTAACTAACTATGGGTCACTGTTAGTATTGGGACTGGAAACCATGTGGTTTTTAGAGACACGGAGATCTGGGTTCCAACTGCACTCCTGCTCACTAACTGTGCAACTGGAGCCGTTGCTCAGACTCTCCGAGACTCATTTTTCTCATTTGTAAACTGGGGATGATGATGCTGCTTTATACTGTAGCTGTGAGAATTAAATAATGACTCATCATGCTTGGGGGCACAGCGGGTGCTCACGAATGGCAACTGGCTTCATGACAGGCACAGATGCTCCGTGGTTTTGATCATTTAACTCCGGCCATGATTCTGGGGAGAAGGATCTGAGAATCAGGAGTATGGACTTGTCATCCCTCCCCTTTTTCTGTCCCACTCCCACATTTCTCTCTGACAGTTTCCTTCTGCATCCTCTTCCCACTGGTTAGCAGGCACTTTCCAAGAGTTTTTAATTCATTTTTCTAAGTGTGAATTGTATTTTGCAGGTGGCATGGAAGAAAGGTTTTGAGAAAGGGAACAAGGAGTTCTGGTGTTCCACAGTCTGCCTTATCTGGGGCCTACACGAAGCCATGTTGCCATGTTGCCATGTTGCAGACACCCGGCATGGTGGTTCAGAGTCCAGTTCCGTGGAGGGGAGGGGCTGTGGATGCTCCCCGTCTCCCAGCATCCACAGGCCTCCCAGCTGTGCCTGCACATTCCCTCGCTTCCTGACTGCCTCCCGCCTCTGAACAGAACATTCTCCAGCATCACCAAGCTCAGCCATCTAGTGAGAGCCTCAGTGAACCTCAACAGCCATCGATCAGAATGTTGCAGGCAGGTTCTGGGCCAGCATCCTAGGGAGGAGACAGGACTTGATCCAAAAGAACACAGTCTCTGTTTCCAAACAAACACTGGCTCATGAATGAAGCACCAAAAACCTGACTGTTTGGACAACAGCAAGTTCCTAATGCCATCTGTTGTATGCACCGAGTGTCGTACTCTCTGAGCCCCTACGGTGGGCTCAAAAGACACTCTCCCACCGGCAGAGGCTCTCGGGGATGCAGTGGGTGCTGGACACAGTGTTTCAAGTCCTCTGCCCTCTTGCCACATGGTGAAGAGTGGCTGACCATAGAGGGCAGGAGGAATGCATTCGCAGGGGGATGGACTCTCTAACGAGGTAAGGACATTGATGCCCCACTGCCACCGTGCATCTGCTCTGCGCTCCGGAGGCCGATGTGACCAGCCCAGGGACCCAAGAGTCAGGCAGATAGAAGAGTCCAAAAAGCACAGAGAGGCCGGGCTGTGGTCTGGCTCCAAAAGGATTCAGATAAAGGGAGCCCCAGAGCCACCCAGCTGGGGGTGCCTCTGGGTCAGACCTTTAGGTGAGATGGACTCCAACTTGCAGTTAAGAGCCTACAAGGTTCTCCAGCCCTCCCCTGTCCCAACACACATTCTCACCCCATCTCAACAGGGTTTCCATGGGACATGTTCCCTGTTCCCTTGGCAACCTGGAAGGCCCACAGGCAGCCTTCCTGAAGTGCCTATTTTGGCCACAGAGGTATAGGGTCAACCCCACTCAGAACCAACAGAAAAGAAATCTGTTCGCTCCCTGGGAGTTCTCAGGACCCAACTACTCCTAAGTCCAGACAACTGGGTTAGGGCCCGAGGGAGACAGGATGGAGAGGAGAGAAAGAGTTGGACAATTGGAGTGTTTGTGAGGTAGTGAGTGTCCCTGTCCCTTGAGACATTCTCATAGAGGTTGATAGCAAAGGAGACTCCGGCCTCGGATTGACCTGCAGGATTCTGTGCTATTTTAAGAAATCTATTTTACGCAACGGGATAAAGCCCCCTTGTGTTTTCTTTCTGGTTGATTCTACAAGGCAAGCAATGCACACCTGAGGATTTTCCTGGGGTGTGGAGGGGTCTCCTGCTTCTCCATTTAATTTCCAGCCTTGTTGGCTGTCTCCACCGGTAAGCTCTTTCTCTGACTCCCCTACTCAGACCTCATTTGGTTCCCAAAGAGTGGGGGTATTTCCTTTCTCACAGTTCTTATTTTCAGCTGAATTTTAAATGTCCCCAGCTGAGGTGGCGCTGGGAGCTGGAGTGACTTGGGATAATCTCAGTTTGGCCACTTTGTGCCCACGTGAACTTGGGTGAGTTAATGAACTTCTTTCTCTGTGAAGATTCCTTCATCAGTTCCTTCCTTGCCCCTCCTCATGCACACTCCACTCGGCTGTTTTGATGAGGAAAACCGCTTCTTTCCAGCACAGGAGTACTGGTCTCTGCCAGGCCTGCTAAACGGCAAACAAGCTTTTGGTACTTGCCAGTACCTGGGGAGAAAGTCAAGAGCTGCCGGGAGCCGGTGCAAGCCCAGCTCTTTCCCCAGGAAAGTGAGTCAAGCTCTGCCGTGTTAATTGGCTCATCCCTTCATAATGCCCCACAGGCTGGCAAACAGCTGGTAAACAGTGGGGAGGACACATCCAACTCCACGTGGAGAGTGATTCAATGACTCTCCCCTATTACTCCGGCTGTTCTTAAAAGGCTGAAATCAGCGAGTTTATGCTGCACAGTTATCTGCCCAGATGTCCTACTATCTTCTGGTTTTCCTGACATCATTCTAAGTCAGGCAAATAAAATTCTGATTTTTGTCTCCCATCTGTAAGAAGTCAGGTTTTATCTGGATGACAGTCAAGGAAAGATCTGGTTCTCTACCCATCTCTTCCCCAGACAGGTGAGGAACCAACCAGGATGCACACAGCCCTGGTCATCACCCCGAGCACAGCCTTCTGATGAATATTTATGTCACAAGTCCCCATGCAACTTATTTCTGTTTTTCTCCATCAGACAGGGCAGACAACAGGGTTCTGTTTACTAATATGTAATTCCTTTCCACATTCACACGCAAAGCACAACCTTTCACATATCAACCATCATGATTCCCTCTCCTGTCCCCTCCTCTGTCCTTCTTTCTGGGAAACCTATTTCTTGTTGAGAACCTGGTAAACTGGGAAAGAGTCAGCGAGTGTTGAGCTACCTAGTTTCCATCAGATAGGAGAATTCTGGAAGACTAAGCTACCTTTAAGCCCTTACCTCTCATCCTCATGCCCACCCTGCATGCCGGGAGAAGAGTTTGTTGGATTTAAATTGTCGCTCGTCACTGTGTAGAAATACAAAGCCATTGAGTAATTTACTTAACAAATATTGCTGAGTGTTTGCTAGGTAGCGGCTCTGCCTTTGCCAGGGCTCAGGGAAACGTGGTGAGCAAGATAGGCACACCCCCTCCCTTTACAAAGCGCAGGGTCTCAGAGAGGAGGTGCTTAAATAAAAACAAGATGCAGTGAGGATTATGATAAGGAAGTCAACAGATGGTCTATTATTTCTAACAGGATTAAACTTCCGGTGCGTTGAGGTCTTTTCTATCTTCCACCCATTCAAATATGTAATACACTGACAGTACTGAGTGCCTACCATGCTTGGATAGGCACAGTGATGAATGAAAGACACGGCCCCTATCGCTGAGATGCCAACTGTGCTTTTGGGGAGCAGACACAGAAACAGTGGCCCTTCGGTGTGGTGAGAGCTGGGCGGAAGGCCAGAGGAGATGGTGGGAACAGTGGGAAATAAATAAGCTGGCGTGGACCTGGGGTAGTGACGGGGGATGGGGCTTCTTATGCAGGGTAATTCAAGAAGCTGGAAAAAACCACCAAGACCCTGCAGCAGGCTGCCTGCATCTCACAAATAGGACCCCTCAGATAGGATCTTGTATGGGAAAGGGCATAAGAAATGAATGTGAGATAATCTTTATTACTTTCTAAGGATAGGCATGTGAAATCACTGTGTACAGATCATTTATCAAAAACTTGATTTTCTTACAAATACTAAAATAATGTCTTTTATGTTAATGTAAGCTGTTAATCTGGTTCCCAAGTTATTTGAGGGCAGGAATTATTTTCTTAAAAAATCACATTATTTATGAAAATCCTAGAGTATGTGGGTGGGTCATAAGGGCTGAACTGAAATCTAACTTCACTTTAATTAATGGAGGAAAGGATGGCAAAGCAAGCTAAAAAAAGAAAATATGTTTAAGAGCTTAAGCATTCATTAAAAAAAAAAAAGTAACTGTTTATTACAAAATATTCTGCCAGAATCATCAAAAGAGATCACTCTGAGACTCAAAGTAGCATTTTACTATCTGAATTATATGTCATAACAGAACAACAATTGGTAAAGCATCTTAAAGTTCATGATGTGTATTTATATTAATATAAATTGACTCATGTTTCTCAACAGAGTCCCTTAATGTTCAGAGTGTGATTTCCATTTTCTAGACCAAAAATCCAACACATGAATTATGTTACTAGCCTATAGCCACACAGAAAAAAAGTGAAGAGAAAAAAAAAAAAAGAAAGAAAGAAAAGAAAGCCTATTTATTTGCTTACTAGAGGACTTCATGCACTCTGGGGGGTGGCTGTGTCCTTCAGCTAGGCCTGAGCCCTCTGGCAATCCAGGAGCCCTCAGGGGATGCCTACCTGATGGCTTAGGCTCACTCCTCACAAGCCCACTTCCCAGGCAGACATCCTTAGCCCTGCTGCAGAGACAGGAGAGGCTCCTGCATTGCCGATGCTCTCACCAACCATGAGCCTGGCTTCTGACTGAGCAGTGTCCCCTTCCTGTGGGAGCGCACTGATCACCAGGGAGCAGCTCCTGCATTGAGCATCTGTCCCCTGGTGGTCAGTGCTCAGCATAGCTACCGGTCTTTCGGTTGTTGGGCCGCTTAGACTTTTATATATAGAGAGATGTCTGCTGAGAATGGAAGGAAGGTAGAAGGAGACATAAAAATCAAGGAAAGCTTCTTTTCCTTTTATTAAAAAAATATATTTTTTATTGGTTTTGTACAGAGAGGAAGGGAGAGAGATAGTTAGAAACATCGATGAGAGAGAGTCATCAATCAGCTGCCTCTTGCACACCCCCTACTGGGGATATGCCCGCAACCAAGGTATATGCCCTTGACCGGAATCAAACCCGGGACCCTTCAGTCCCCAAGCCGACGCTCTATCCATTGAGCCAAACCGGTTTCAGCAAAGCTTCTTTTCCTTTTAAACACTGGAGATACCTGTATGTGTGTGAATGTGTTGCCTAAAGGGAAAGAGGCAAACATTAAATAAGAGAGAAGGACTTTGATGGAGGAAGGTTCCAGAACAACATGGGAAGAAAGAGATAGTAAAATTCCAGGGACTGACATTGGGGAGGTCTAGTCTGGGGTAAGAGTAGTAGTGCCAGGTACAGGGAAAGTCCTCGGCTACTGTCAGGAGACCCCCAAGTGTGACAGGTACCCAGGAAGCACACCCTGAGAAGGATGAGATGCCAACCCTGTGCCAAGTGTGCTATGCAAGGCTGAGAATACAGCAGAGTGAGCACATGCCTGGCCTGACCTTCTAAGTACCGTCAGTTTCCTGCATCTGTCTCCCCCTTCCCTCCATCCCTCCTGTCTGCCTTTCTCTAGTTCCACCTCTGAAAAAGTCAATCCAATGCCTGCAGCAACAGAAGCGGCAGACAGGGCAATGTGTGTGTGTGTGTGTGGGGGGGGGGGGGGGGGGGACACGACGACTATGATGCTGATCACTTACCTTGCTATCAGGAATAACCCTATTAAGAATGACAGGGGTCTGCCCCACAGAGAAACCAGGTTTGTAATAGTCAAGTAAAGGATACTGATGTCTGCTATGAAAGATGCTGTGGCCTTAATATGAACTGTGTGCCTTGGTTATTGGAAATGTGTGTTCTCATTGTCATGCCTATCTTAATACCAAGGAATTAAGGAACCAGACTTAATTATAGAATGGTCTGAGAAAAGTGTTTCTTAAAGGAAACCCAAACTCTTTAATAAGAGAAGACCTGATTAATAGTGGAATGAATGGTGCTAACTATATATTCAAAATTCAGTTTTTTAACTATAGAAAGATGTTAAGAGTGTGAAAGAAAAGAGCCACATGCTAACCTGACAGGCTCAAGGAAGGCCTGAGTGGCAGTCTTGCAAACTCAGAGACCTAAAGTAACCACAAAAGATGGTTTGAAAATTAAATATCTAACTATAAACAGGTTATAGTGGTTAGTTATGTCCCAGATATTTCACCTGACAAAAATCAACTTAATATCTTTACTGAGCCCCATCTGCCTACAGGCCTCTAAGATAACATATCTGTGAGATGTCTGGGTAACTTGTAACTTCCTTTTTACCCCAACCCCTCAGGGCACAACAAATGGCCTTGAGACATTCCCTCATTGTTATTGTTATTAAGTTAATTGTCAACTGTTAATTACATTAAAGTATCCTGTATCCATCTCTGTAAAAGAAGCTCATGTCCATCATTTCACCTTTTACCCTATCCCAGACGTCCCCCCCCTGCTTTGCTCTGTCCCACCTCCCTAATCTATCACCAATGAATTTCATGTAACTCACCTACATCCCTTTCCATTGATTACAATGTATAAATATAGTAGATATGTAACCCACCATTCTTCGGAGTATTATCTCAATCTGTTGAGGTTCTGCTTCCTGGCATATGTCCACAGTTTAGCTCAAATAAACTCACTAAAATTCTTTACAGGTTTCAATGTTTGTTTGTTTTTTTCATTAACAAGAGGAAGGGAGAGGAAGAGAGCGGTAGAATCATCAATAAGAGAAAATAGTTAATTGGCTGCCTCCCGCATACCCCCAACTGGGTGAGGTCAAGCCTGCAAGTCAGGCATGTGCCCTGAGTGGGAATCAAACCATGACCTTCTGGTTCACGGGTTGACACTCAACCACTGAGCCACACCAGCCGGAATCAAAGTTAAGTTTTTAAGCATCTTCTGAAATCTCACTCTGCCAACATTATTTTAAGTCAATACTGTGATTTTTTTCATTACTATCATTAGTAAAGCCAATGGTAAAATAAGAATTGGTTAAATTGCATGCTTAGAGCAGTCCCCGGTGTGCGAGGAATCCATGTTATGTAGAGACAGTATTAAATTTTTATTTTCTGGTGCTGAGCTGCACAGACTCAATGGGAGGCGGGAAGGATGGAATAGAGGACGTGCCAGAAATGTAACGCGCCCGTGACCTGCTCCGACCATGATCTCAAATCACTAAGGTTTCTGTGAGCCCTGCTACGGGGGCAGAAAAGGCCAGCAGGACAGGAGAGGGGGAGCGGCACACTCTGCCCTCAGCTACCTCCTCTCTCCTGGCAGGTGGCCCGCAGTACTGAGCAGGGCCACAGCCTGCTCTCCACATCCCATCCGTCAGGGGGAGAGGTGGCCAGTGTCAGGACCTGGTCCTCCCTGCCCCCGTGCCTCTGGGAAGGAAATGAATGTTTGTGGCTGCTGCAAATAGACCTTGTGATGGTCAGTATTAAATACAGCTTTCGAATCATAACTTGCTCTCTCCTAATATACAGGCTTTTCCTCAAAGGACACAATAACATCTTGAAAATATTCCAAATAATACTCGCCACCGCTACTGAAAGGGCTGAGTTAGGAAGCTTGCTTCTTCTTAAGATAATGTTTTCCATATTAGGGACAGAAGCTCACTTTTGTTTGTTCTTTAGATAAAAATCCTAGAGCCACAGGGCCATCCTTAATGTAAACACAGAGCCATCGACTAAAAATGGCCATTCTGAACAGTCTAGCTCCTTAGGAATGCATGTAAAGCTACATAGTTGGCTTTCTGCTGTTATCTTTTCATTTTAATTCACACCAGTGTATGAGTAACCTCTAAGGCCCAAACTGGGAAATTACAAAATGACAAACAGGCCATTGAGCTTCTTCCCAAACAGAAATGGTCAGCACACTCCCAGGACCCTCCAGGGCCAGAGTTCACCACTCCCTCCCTCTGGTTGTATCCCCTTGCAGACCTGAGAGTGAGAAAACAGAAAGGAGAGTGGGCTGGAAAGGAGACAATATTTTCAAGACTGCAGCACTATTTGGCCAAATCATTGTTTTAATCCTCGATCCATCTCATGAATGCCCTGTCCTCAGGACAAAAGCATACCAACAAATAAAACAACCAACACACACACACACACACACACACACACACACACACACACCCCGTCTCAAAGCAAACCCAGCTCGGTCCAGGCGGAGCCTGCAGATTTCTGCATTTGCACTCTCTGGGTTGAAACTGGATCTTCCAAGGGCCTGGAGATAAGTTCCTGACATAAAACCACCGGAATGCTTCCATTAATTCACTCATTGTCTTAGCAAATATTTCCTAAGCACCTATTGCTTAAAGCCACAGCGCTTGAGGGGGAGAAGGAGAAGTATTCCAGATCCTCAGATCTCGGTGGCCAGAGAGGGGCCCAATCCAATCTGGACCTGCACAAACTGGAGCTCCAGGGAGTCGAGGCTGTCCAGCCGCGTGGGTACCCACAGCTCCTGCGCCCTGCCACCAAGGGCGCCAGAAAAACTTTCCCCAACTAAGGTGACCAGACGTCCCGCTTTTGTCAGGACTGTCCCGCCCAAAGCACGACGTCTGGTCACCTTACCAAGTCATGCCAGCACCGGTGTGCCAAGTGCACCCTCGGCAACTCCAAGAGGCGAGCGCCACAGCCGCACGCAGGTCGGAGGGGAAGGCAGCAACTCACCCTAACTTTTTTAAAAATATATATTTTATTGATTTTTCACAGAGGAAGGGAGAGGGATAGAGAGCTAGAAACATCAATGAGAGAGATACATTGACCAGCTGCCTCCTGCACACCCCCCACCGGGGATGTGCCCGCAACCAATATACATGCCCTTGACCGGAATCCAACCTGGGACCTTTCAGTCCACAGGCCGATGCTCTATCCACTGAGCCAAACCGGTTTGGGCACTCACCCTAACTTTTGAGCTCATGGCCAAACTTGGGGGCTAGATTAGAGAGAAAGGAACGGGACCCTGGCGCCGAGGAAGGACTGGGAGGCGGATTGCGAGGTCAAGGGCAAGGGCAAGGGGACCGCCCGCGCCCAGAATCGGGCACGGCACTCACCTGCGTAGTTGCGGAGCTTGCGGTTCCTGAGCACCGAGAGGATGACCAGCAGGTTGCCCAGGACGTCCACCACGGTGGTGAAGACGAGCACGGAGAACAGAGCGGGCGCCACCCAGGGGGGCCGAGGGTGCCCGGACGGCTGCCCGCCGCCCGCTCCGGGCCAGCCCGGGCGCAGGGCACGCCCGGCCGCCTCGCAGCAGTTGCGGAAGGAGCCGTTCCCAGGCATCTCGGACCCCGTGCGCCGCCGCCCCCTTTGGCCGCCAGGAGAGGCGCAGGGCGCAGCGGAGCTCCGCACGGCCTGGCGGGAGGCCAGCGGGGAGGGAGCTAAAGGAGTAATTAAGTCCCGGCAGGGGGCGGAGAAAAATGTGGGAGCAGACGGAGGACTTGGGGTGCAGGCTTTGCCAAAAGGAGAGGGTCCCTTGGTAGTTTGCTCAGGAGCAGCTTGCTCTCCCACCCAGAGACCAACTCTTGTCTGGCCCCGCTAAGACTTCAGTTTCTGAGCGCAAGGATCTCCCCTTCTCCCCTTCCCTCAACCCCCAGAAGCTGCGCTTAGAGGGGGACACCCGGGTGTGCAGACTGGATAAGGTGCTGGTGATCCAGATCAGCTGTTGACAGAAGGGCAAAGCCTAAGTCTAAAGAGCATGTAATCCCGAGGCTATGGGAACATAGCCCAGAGCGAAGTAGGGTGGAAAGTTATACTCGCTATATGGAGTAAGCTAATTAAACATTGCAGAGAAGGAGGTTTGCTTCCCCTGATGATCTCGGAGCTTACTGAATAGATGGACCTTATAATTCATGTTGGTATTTTCAATCTTCCCCCTGCCACCTGCCTTCCTCACCCAGGTGCCCTCCAATGCCCTACTAAATATGCAAATTACAGAAATCAGTACACATGTGTTTGTTAGAATAGCATTGGCTTGACTTAAAGCAGATTGGTTTTAACTAGTCTTAAATCAGATGGATTAGCAAATTATTTTCGTTGCTACTTCATAATTGTAATATTGCTACTGTTAATGAATCATAATGTAAGGAAGAATGAGCCTTGTCCAGGTAGCTCGGTTAGAGTGTTGTCCAGATATACCAAGGTTTCAGGTTTGATCCCTGGTCAGAGCACATCCAAGAAGCAACCATGAAAGCATACATAAGCAGAACACTAAATAGATCCCCCCTCTCTCAAATCAATGAATAAAATTTTAAATAAATAAAAAGAGAAAGGAAGCTTTGGAGAGGGACTCTGATAATGTGATTATGCAGACGATGATAATTAAAGGAACAAACTCCTTGAGAAATGAGCTCATCTGGAGAAGGAATGTGATTGTTAGGAGAGAGAAACTTTCTCCCCTACAGGAGAAAGGAAGCAGAAGCCAGGTGCCAATTCAGAGTGTCTCTAGATTGGGTGAGAAGATGAAGGAATACATTCCTCTCTGGCTGCTATTCTCTCAGGGAGTTTGAGGCTCCCTCATTAGCCAGAATTCAGGGGACTCAGGGGAAGAGAGTGTGGGTGGTGTGCAGACAGAAGAAGGTATGAAATGTCATTTCAGAAAATGGGGAAGTTACCTAGGAAAGCATGACAGGTATGTCAGGAGAACAAGTGGCCGTATGGCTTGAGATTGAGACTATAAATGAAGCTTTGTCCAAAGGTTGTAATCAGAAACTTGGAGCAGGCTCAGGACAGGCCCAGAGAAGGCAGAGGGAACTTCAGTGAGGATCGGGGCTTGCCAGCCAGGAGTAAATAAATGAAGGAAATGCAAGGACATGGCAGGAAGATGGACTCTAGGATTTGCATTAAATAAGGGATGATGAGAAGTCAGAAGGGGGCTGATGGATCAGGAGAAAGATGTGGGATCAAGGGATTAGAGTAGGGGTGTCGAACTCAATCAGAGAAGGGGCCAAAATCTAAAATCCAGCCTAAATCGCGGGCCGAATGGTTTACTGAACAGTCATAAACTGTCATTGTGATGGAAACGCAGCGGAGTGCAGTGATGACAGCGTGGTGCGGGCCACATTGCAAGGCCTGGCAGGATGGATTTGGCCCGCGGGCCTTGTGTTTGACACATGTGGATTAGAGGGACTGAATTCAAAGAATTGTGGTGAGTGAATCTGAAAAAAATAAATTGTGGTATTTTAGAGGACAACTCATTGGAAATGGAGATTTCTGAGCAGTGCAGATTCTACTGATGTGAGGTTTCTGATAGTGATTATGGGAGTAGGGAGCTGGAAAAAGGCGAGTGAAAGCTTGTTGAAATGAGAAGCTTATAGAACTAAGTTAGGGGGTAGATTTCATGATGACGAGATAAAACACCACCAACAACTATGTCAGAAGGCAAATCCCCAATGAATGAGAAGGAATGCCCAGCTCGTTGGCAGGAGAGCTACAGGGAAGAGGACACAGCTGGACGTGTGAGTTCAGGAAGAAGGGACAGCCATACTTTCCGGGTCTTACACAGACACACATATATGAAAAGGTAAGGGTGCTTCTCTGACTTTCAACAACCCTTATAGCAATAGATAAATTGAATACAGTATAAGTTGCCCTAGCTGGGACACACTAATAACATACATTTGATTAATTGAGCATGAGACAGATTTGTCCTATATTGCCCCAGAATGTGCACCTTGCCATATCCATGACAGTATATCTCAAGACCTATGGGCACTGAGAATTGGGGTACTCTCTTCTCTACCTAAGAAGTCAATGCTGTGTCTTGGCACAATTGACCAAACTGTGCCTTCAAAGAGCAGGGAAATGACCACGCTGTGACTTAAATGGGCAGTAAAATGACCAAGCTGTGTCTTAAAAAAGGGCAGGGAAATGACCTAGCTACTTTGGAAGACAATTTGGCAGTTTCTTAAAAACAACAAATACACTCTTATCATACAATCTGGTAATTGCACTTTTTGGTATTGTCAACAAAAGGTTGTTGCCGCCAACCTAATGCTAATAGGAATTCACAACCCAGGGTGCAGAAAAAGGAGAAACTTAGTTCAGGTAAATTTATCAAACTGGGAATAGCAATCACTGAGGGAAACTGAAATTGCCCAGCCTCCCCCCCCCCCAAAAAAAAAAATACAGACACACACACACACACACACACACACACACACAAACAACAACCAGGAGGCCAGCTTACATAAAGTGTCTGCCCTGATCCCTGATTGGTCCATTTTTATGCAGACCAGGAATCCAAATGTGTACAGTTTAATTGGTCCAAATAGCACTGTCCTGATCAATCAAAGTCTTCCATCCTGATTGGTCATTACGGAGCTGCTCTGATTGGTCAGTTATACTGCAACTGGACAGGGCAGGTCTCAGCCCATTGGTTGAAATATGATTCAAGGAACTCCTTTATGGGGTTTGGCTCAGACAATAGGAACACAATGCATAAGATTTAGAAGTTCAGTCTATAGCTTTTCCCTGATATCAGCATGAGTGGGAGGTCTCTGTTAATATTGGCTTCTAGATTCTAGTTATGAATTTGTGCCTTATTGACTATGAGAAGTCCTTTTTGACAGATATATTACTCATTGAAGTCCACAACATTTATCCAAAAAAGTTGAAACTTACATCCACATAGAAATCTGCTGACAGATAATTATAGTCACGTTATTCATAATTTCTAAAACTTTGAATTAACCAAGATGCCCATCAGTGAGTGAATGAATAAATTGTGGCACATTGATACTATTGCAATATTGTTCATTGAAACTATGCAATATTGTTCATTGTTCATTGTTAAAAAGAAATGAGCTATAAGCCATGAAAAGACTTGAAAAAAATTTAAGTACCTATTACTCAATGAAAGACACCAATCTAAAAAGGCTACATACTTCCCTGACCAGTGTGGCTTAGTTGATTTGGCATCATCTTGTGCACCATAAGCTTGGGGGTTCGATTCCTGGTCAGGGCACATGCCCAGATTGTGGGCTCAGTCGCCCGTGGGGTGCATGCAGGAGGCAGCTGATCAGTGTTTCTTTTTCACTCTCCCTTCCTCACTCTCTAAAAAATAAATAAAATCTATAATAATAAAAGTGTAATATGCTAATTAGACCAGATGTCCTTCTGTATGACCTTCCAGAAGAAGCCGGGTCTGCGAGGGAAGCTGTGGTCCCAGGTGCAGAGGGAAGCCGGTGCCAGCAGCCAGGGGAAGGAAGACCTATTCTTGCACAAATTTCTTTCATTGGGTTCTAGTATTAAATAAGTGGCTATATACTGTATGATTCCAAATATGTGACCTCGTGGAAAAGACAAGACTATGAGACAATAGAAAGATCAGAGTTTTCCAGGGATTAGGAAGAGTAAACAAGTGAATATTTGGAGCACCGAGTATATTTAAGGGCAGTCAAACTACCCTATATGATACTACAATGATAGATTAGACATTTGGCCAAACTTATAGAATTTACAACACCCAGATATGAACCTTAATATGTCAATGTAGGTTGATTATAATAAGTACACCACTCTAGTGGGGGATGTTGATAGTGTGGGAGGCTATACATGTGTATGGGCAGGGGTTGTATGGGAACTCTTTGTAATTTGTACTCAATTTTGCTTTGAACCTAAATCTGCTCTAAAACATAGTCTATTTAAGAGGGGTGTGTGGCAGAGTAAGAAGGAAGGTTATTTCCAGGGGGCAATATATCCTCAGTCTAAACAGAATCTACCCAGCTATCAAGCAGACAAATTCAAGCAAATCTAGATTGGAATGAGGTCATCTGAGGTGATGGAGAGGAGTGCTCAGGTTTAAAAGAGAGGGTATTACCATCCAGGAACTGAAAAGACACATCAGAAGGGGTAAGCTCAGGGCAGAGAAGCTAGAGACGGGGCTAAAGAAGTGGGCAGGAGCCCTCGCCAGTTTGGCTCAGTGGATAGAGCATCCGTCTGTGGCATTTTGCTGGAGAGTAAGGCTGTTTTTCTTGGGATAAATGCAGCAGCAAAACACAAACCAGTTGATCTTAAAAAGCACCTCTGCCATCTTAACTCCAATAATTTTCAAGACACTTCCACATACTGTAGTTTTGTCATTCCCAGTTCTTGTAAGAATGACATCTCTGTACTGTTGTCTGGAGTATGTCTATAAAAGCTTGTTCTCTGTTAAGCCAGTTTATTGACTTCAGCCTGGTTGAGAGAATTTAGTTAGTTGGTCCATTTATCTAGTGCCATGGTCGGCAAACTGTGGCTCATGAGCCTCATGCAGCTCTTTGGCCCCTTGAGTGTGGCTCTTC